CCCCCCCCCCCCCCCCCCCACCCCCCCTTCCGTGGTTTATGCCCGGGGGGGGGGGGGGGCAGAAGAAGGAGGAGGAAAGATGTCAGGTTTGATCTTGGCTTACCGTTTTGTTTTGTCTTCACTCTGGAACTTTTTTATGGCTCCTGTGAATCACGTCAGGGGTTTCTGCCATGAGCAGCAGCACAGAAAGAATAAGTTCAGATAAATGTACTAATTAGAAAAGATCCAGTGCCTGGGTTCAGTTAGTTTACCTCCGAAAGCAAACCCAAACTCAGGTTTCGTTTGGAATTTATACCGTTCTGAAGTTTGCAAGGTAATGAGCACCCCCGATGAATAAAAACAAAGATCAGTTTGTAATACAATTAGCACCCCTGTTAAAAAAAAAGTGCATTAAAGTCTTTGCCAAAATATACTCATGAAAATAATGCACAAAATGTATTGCATTAGGTAAAGTGCTTTGCAGGCGTTCTGCAGATGAGGCAAAATTGCAGACCAAATGCATAGGATTGCAGAAAACAGGCATGGAAATGTTCCTTGCCAAAATGAGGCACACCAATAGAAGAGAAGGCACACCGTTCTGAAGCGGAGACATCTGCCAGTCAAAGGGACTGCAAGGCTCAGTCAACTGATTGCTGGCACCGACCAGGACCCCAGGGTTGCCCCAGACGAAGGCCCAGAGGCCTTGCTGGGTTGCCCAGCAGTTAGGGACCTTCAGCAGCCAGCTCAGGTCAGGCCAGGTCCTTGACTCCAAGGGGTGGGTGGAGTTCTCCTGCTGGGCAAGGGCCTGAATCCTCCTGGGGGCTGATCCTCGGTCCCTAGCCTGGACTGAAAAGGTCCCCAGGAAACTCCCAGGTTTCTACACAAGCCTGGCCCTCCTGGGTGGGACAGTCTTCCACCATACCTGTCCTGCAGCTGCTGGGGGAAAAGCGCCCCCCAGTGGCTAAAGGGGCAGTGGCAGGGTTGACCCCTAAGCTGGAAGAAGAGAGCAGGGCAGGGGCCAAGGGCGCAAACTTGCATCCTTTTGCTAAAAGGCTCGTAGGCATCAAGATCGGAAGCAAACACGATGTCCTCTCAGCAAGACTTGGTGCTCCTCAAGGCTCTCTTTCTCGGCACTCACTCTGTGAAGTGGACACAGTGGACGATGTGGTCCAAAATGTCAAAATGGTTCCACAAGGCTGTGACTGAAGCCCCGCTGTTTTCTGCGCGCAATGCGCTCAAAGAACAGCAGAGCTTCAATTGCCCCCTGGCAACATCTTGACTTTTTGGACCCCACCCTGCACCGTGTCCACTTCACAGAGCGAGTGCCGAGAAAGAGAGCCTTGAGGAGCACCAAGTCTTGCTGAGAGGACATCGTGTTTGCTTCCGATCTTGATGCCTACGAGCCTTTTAGCCAAAGGATGCAAGGTTGCACCCTTGGCCCCTGCCCTGCTCTCTTCTTCCAGGTGGCACGGTATACTGTTCCTCGGCTTTTGCACCGGCACAGCAGCTGCTGTTCTCCTTGCTGCTCTCTCTCAGCCTAGTGCTTGATGTTCTTGGAAGCAAAGGCCACGGGGTTACGTCCTTGCTTCCCCTTCCCTGGAGTCCCACCCGGACACTCCCTTGCTGCACATCCGTCTCCAATGCCCAGTCCGCCCCTCTGATGGTGGGAAGGCAGATGCCCCACGCTGCCTGTCTCGGCTGTGCCCGAGCAGGCAGGTGGGTTTCCCCCGGAGGGTCACCTGAGGAACTCCAGGTCGTCCCAGCCGTTGTGGATGAGGCCTTCCTCGTATTGCTCCATGCCGATTGCCCGCAGCCATTCCCCCACGCTGGACTCGCTGCACCTGGAACCGCCGCTCTGGCCCTCCTGGGTCAGGGTCTGCGAAGGAACACCAGGAGGAACTCAAGAGAGGCCAGGCTGGGCAGCACCCACAAGCACCACCCTCCTCTGCAAACGTAGTCAAGGGGGGAGGAGGAAGGGTGCCTAACCTGCCCCCCTCAGTTTGATACCATCTCTGCAGAAGCAGCTGGAATCTGCCACGGGATGGGTCAGATCACAAGGCTAACCTTGTAGAGCAGTGTTTCTCAACCTTGGGAAGTTGAAGATGTCTGGACTTCAACGCCCAGAATTCTCCAGCCAGCAGGGGAATTCTGGCCGGCTGGGGAATTCTGGGAATTGAAGTCCAGACATCTTCAACTTCCCAAGGTTGAAAAACACTGTTGTAGAGAGTAAGGTAGATGACCCTGATGGAGGGAGGCCAGATCCACTACCAAACCAACAAGGGGAAAAACCCATCTGAAGACCGCAGCAGGCAGAAAACATTCAGAGGCGGCTCAGACAGACACCTCCCTCGTTCACAGGAGCGTAAGAAGGGGAGGGGGACCAGCACAAGCAGACTTGCAAGACCGTTGCCAGCCCCACCAGGCAGACCAAATCAGGAAATCAACCCCACAGGAAGACTAGAACTACTTTTATCGACAGGGGCTATAATAACAAAATCTTGCAAGGGGATTTCAATGGTGAAAGATAAAATTGGAGGAAGGACGCGACCTGAACTCCTTGAAGAGAGGCGGGATGGAAATCTAACAAATAAATTAAAAACAACAGGTTCAACCCGAGAGTCTGCCTCAAGCACAGACCCGGGCTGGGGGGACGGCCTCTCTTCCGCTACTCATCCTGTTGGGCGCCTCCCCCAGTTGCTCGCCGGGGCATACCTCCTCCGCCAAGTCCTCTTCGATGCTCTCCCGGATGGAGCGGGCAGGGAAGGCCACGGGGCGGCTGTAGTCAGGCGGCAGGCAGCGGTGGGCAAGGTCCAGCCTCACTTTGGTCAGGGGGTGGGATGGGGGGCGGCCCGGCTGCTCCCTCCCCAGGCTGCCCCCGCTGGAGTACTCCACCTCGCTGAGGGTCTTGGCCATCTGAAGCACGGAGCAGGAGCGGTCATCCAGGATGCCCGGGGCAACCTGGGGCCCGCTGGGGGGCTCGAGGAGGTACCCTGACCCCAGAGATGGGGCTGGCCTGGGGTGCAGCTTGGGGGGCTTGGCCTTGAGGGGCTCACTGAAGACCACAGTGGTCCGTGGCTTGCCGGCCGCATGGTCCTCTCCTCTGATGCCCACTGAGGTGTAGAAGGCCCCCTCTGCCATCTCCAGCGCCACTGATTTGGGCAAGGGAGGGGGTGGGAAGTCCGGGGGCGGCAGGTTGAGGACCCCCGGCTCTTCCTCTTCTGAGTTTTCCTCGGCCCGGGAGGGCGGCTGTGGGGGCCGCCAGGACTCAGGCTGGATGGGGACCGTGATCTGGACTTTGTTCCGGGGGGCAGGGGGCTTGGCTAGGCTCCCTGGCAGCAGTTCTGGGAGCAGGAGCTGGTGAGGGACCCCCTCCAGCACATAGTAGGCAGGGTTGTTGAAGCTGTTCTTCAGTGGGGGCACATCAGGATCCACAGCCACTTCTGGCTTCACCCTGCACAAGAAGAGAAGGGGGGAGCTCAGCCCTACAGTAGCCCCTGGCTGAAGAAGCTGGACAGCATCGCCAGACCCTTTCAAGGCAATGCATTCTCCCCATCTGACCAATGGCGTAACCCAAAAATGAGACAGCCACCCTCCTGGAGGACACCCCTACCACTGCCTTTCGTTTTTCACAGTGGACAAGCAGATGCACACCAGACGTTGCACCCTGTTCTGGGCACCAGAGTTGAGGAAGGACAGGGCAAGCAGAACAACCATAAGGGGGCCTGGAAGAAAAAAACCTGTGAGGAATGGTTGGAGGCTTTGGAGGACAGAAGACCTCGGGGAAGTACGACAGGATCTGAAGGGTGGTCATGCAGAAGGTGGGGCAGAAGCATTCCAGAAGAGAGGACCAGAAGGGGTTTAAATCAGAAGGTAGGAGATCTCAGTGGGACATCAGCACAAGTTTTCTAAGAGCAAGACCTCTTCCATGATGGAGCAGATGGTCTCTGGAATGGGGGGAACTCTCCTTCGGTAGAGGGGTCTAAATGAAGACTGAAGGGCCGTTTCTTAGGGATGCTATAGTGGTGGATTCCTGCACTGGGCGCAGGGTTGGTTTAGCTGATCTCTAAGGTCCTTCCAACCTCACATTCTATAATTCCACGTCTCCAGGAAGTCAAACTCGTTTCCTCTACAGCTGGCATTTGAAGGCATGCTGCCTCCTATCCAGCGGTCACATGGAATCTCAAGACTGAAAGTCCTCACAGACCCACCCACCATGATTTTTCAATCCTTTTTATTAAAATGTAAGGTGGCTCCACCAGATGAGGCCATCCTAGTCCATCATTTTGTTTTGCACGGCAACCAGCCAGATGCTTCTGGGATGACTGCAAGCAGGAGACGGAGGAGACCAACTTGTCTCCCACTGTTGTTCCCCTGCAGAGGAGATTTGGAGGCATGGAGCCCTTAACGTGGAGGTAACGTGGAATCTTCAAGATTATATCCAAAATTTTATCCCCCCTCCCCCCCATGGAAAGCCAACCTGGTCAGTGACCATCACCATGTCTTGATGGCGATGATTTCTGGAGGTTAATTATACGCTACGTGAAGAAGAACCTCTCTTTTATCGGTTCTAACCCTCAGCTTCCTTAGAGGACTCCTGATCCAAGAGTTCCGAGAGACAGAGAACTCCCCAGACCATGCCCGATTTCACACACAGTGATAACATCCTCTCTCGGTGGCCTTTTTTCCAAGCTAAAGAGTCCCAAACATTCCAGCTCATTCTTATCAGGAAGACACTAAACTGGCCTGGTTGCTCTGGGTGCCCTCAGCAGCACTTCCTCCATACCTTGGATGTGGAAGGAATGACCAGAAATGGTGCCCTCCAATAAACCCTGTGGGTGATCTACCACAGCCACAGACTGTGGTAGATTCATTCATTCCTCAGGGATGAATCCTCTAAGTCCAATCCTCATTTCTATTCAATTTGCAAGAAAAAGTGAAACTAGAAGGAAGAGGCTGGACAGCTATCTATCTGGGATGTCTTAATTTGGATTCCTGTATGGGGCAGGGGCTAGACTAGATGGCCTCAAGAGTCCTTTCAACTTTAGGATTTTAGGATTCTTTGAAAAGGAGACTGCCCAGTAATTTCTAAGAGAAGCCCCCACCTGGATTCCCAACCTATTCTGCCTGGGGACAGGATACAATCCAGAAAGTGAAATGGGATATCAGGGTTCAAGGTTCACACAAGGCTGGCTTCGTTATCTTGTCCTAAAAGGGTGTGAAAGAACAAGATCAGGCATGTGGCTGTTGGGGGAGCCATTTCTGCAGGAACGCCAGGAACAAAGAGAGAAACGAGACGGGATGATCAACGGGACTGGGTCAGCAGTAGGGACAGAAGCTCGAAGGTGGATGTTAAGGATGACTGGAAGACCAGATCTCTAGAGAGCTGGAGCTCTTAAACCCCACTGTGGCTGACGGGCCTCCTGGTCCTTCTGGGCGTGGCTCGCTCACCTGCCCTGGGAGGCCTCCTCCTTGGAGGCACCACGATGCGGAGCAGGTGGGCGGCTGGCTGTCAGGGCGCCAGCCTTCTCCTGTTCGTCTAAGAGCTTCCCAACGGGACAGGCGGTCCCTTCCCCTGAGGAATGTTTTCGCCCAACGGATCTGGCAAGAAAGGTGGGGCAGAAGTCGGGACTCTTCTCCTTGCAAATGTCCAGCCCCCCAAGGAAGAGCTTGGGACGGCTGCAGGAGCTCCTTCCCTAAGCCCCTCTTAAGAAAAGGAGGGGGGGCTTAGGTCCACCTTCCCCCACCCAGGGTCCTCCAGGCACAATCAGAGATCTGGTCTAAAAAGGACAGGAGCCACTGAGGACATTTAAGACATTTTTAGGCCAGTGGGTGGAAAAAAACTAAAACAGCCTGACTTGCTCTAACACAAATGTGGATGCAGAAAAGGGTTTTCCTGGTGGATCCCAGTGTGGGTCGCCTCCTTTCCTGACCAGCTTTTTTTAGCAAAACTCTTCAGAAAAACAGGTCCGTGTATTTTAAAATAAACTCTGCCCCGTATCCATTTCCCCCCAAAGCCCACCTTTCCTCCCCTCTCCCAGGCCCCCAAGCCTTACTTGGTGTGCTCCAGGCTGGTCCGTGAGGCTGGAAGCGCCAGCTTCCCCTTGCCAGCTCCGGTCTCGTCTTTGTCAATGCTGATCCATTCTGAAGAGGGGAGGGGACGGCCTCAGGAGGGTGAAAGGGTGCCCCCCCCAATCACGACTGGCCCAGATGGCTACTTGGGGATTTCTGTCTTCACTCCCAGACAGGTAAACAAGTGAGGAATCTACAAACAGGGGTCTTGAAAGGCCCTCGACTCAGATCTGCTCAATCCCCCTGCCTCAAGTCTGTCTTCCACACGGATCCAAATGTCGGCTATTCAGACCACAGGCTGCATAACGCCCCCCACCACACACCTGAGAAGCTCGCCCCTCTTCTGCTAACTCACCATACAACCTCTCACGAGTTCCCATCCGTTCTGCTGGGACCCGAACTCTCATGGAGCCCCGAATGTTGCCTGTCTCCTCCCCCCGGTGGGAGAGGTAGGTGAGGAACTGCTGCGCAGTGCTCCCGATCATGGACTTGAGGGCGATGACGCACTCTCCTGTGGAGGAAGAAGACAGAGCATGTGGGCTGGAAGGCATGGGAGATGGCTCTCGTGATGGGTTGCCCCATGGCCAAAGAGTTGGCCTTGGTGCTGGGAACGCAGCTCGTCAGAAGGCTCAAGGAACGGATCTGGACAACTCACCCTCTTCAAGCCTGGCCTACCTCACGATTTCACAACTGTTGTGAAGTTAAACATCTCAGTTCAGTTGGTTTATTTATGAACCGCTAGTTCTGCCATTGATTAAAGAGATCTCAGTTGACTGAATGAATGCCGAGTCCCCCTTTTCCCAAGAGTAATTCCATGACAATCCGCAGTCCCTTGTTCCCTTGCAAAGCGGAGGAGGGGAGAAGCAAGGGGGGCTTCTACATAAAGGACGAGGCTCTGACACACAGGACTCCAGCCTGAGAGACACCCTGGGCTGCTTCAGCTCCTCACCATAGGATTCGTAGCCATCCAGAGACTTGACGGTCAACAGGATGTGCTGGTCTTGCAAGTACTCGATGTCAGAGAGGATCGGTTTGAGCTGCAGGCAGAGAAATCAGAGATGGCAGCAGCATTAGCCAGTGGTGCTCCTGGAAGAGATGCCCGGGAGCAAGTCCCAGCGTGGGGAAGCACCTACGTCCTTTCCTGCCCTCTTCCTAGGCAAACCATCCTTGCCCCTAAGCTTTGCCACTCAGAGGCCCTTGCGGCAAACCCGACCTTCTGGGGGATGGGGAAGGGAGGGCTCACCGTGGGCAGCTGCCTGGAGGACCACTGGACCTTCAAGAAATTGATGTTGTCGCTGCTCTGGGAATCGTTCTCAAAGCTCTTTTTGAATTCTAGGGGAAAAAGAGAGAGAGAAAGTAAGTTGTAGACAGCCATGGAGACAACCTTGGGGAAACTACGCAGAGATGGCTTCAGAAATGAAAAGACGCTTTAAGCCCAGGAAATGGAGAAGACATTAGGAAGAAACTCAGACTGGTTCCATCCTAATTCACTGGGGTGTAAGAGGGAGGGAAGGCAAACACAGGCTTTCTGGATTCTGCCTATCTCAATAAAGCACAGCTCCAGCCCACATATGGAGTCCGTGTCCTGATTCGGACTACCTCAAAGGGCTGACATCAATAAAGGTCTCTAGATGTGGCCTCTAACTGCCAAGTGAAGTCGCCACACTCCCCTCCCCGCAAAGAAACAGGTGACGCTTGGAGAAGTTTGGAGAGCATCTGCCGAATCACGGAGACCCCTACGGCACTTTTTAAAAGTCCAGGGGACCCAAGGAGAAGAAGAGCGGGGATAGGTTGATTTGGCTCCTTGTAACGGTCACTCGCCAAAGAGAAGCTGGCAGAGATCAGCTGTGTTCTGGGTCAAGGATGCGGAAACCATTGAATGTTCTCTGGAGCAAAGGCCGGACGGACAGGCTTTCCACCCCCTGCCGTGGCTCTGAACAGGGAATGGGCACTGGGGAGAAGGGGAGCCAGATACTTTGGGACAATACGAAGACAACGGCCAAAATAATAACAGCAACCAGCAACAGTAATAAGGTGCCGTACCAAAAGACATTACTGCAATATATGGGCTGTTCCAAGTAATGCAACTTTTTGTAATCGATGAGTTGAGATTCTCTTCATCTCTATAGGGTTCAAGTCCCCAAAAACGTATTACTCCAGACAGCACATATATTGCAACAGTATTTTTTTTAAAATTAATTTTTATCGAAAAATATTTTACAGAATAAAAACATGTAAAGGAAAAATAAAGGAAAGTAAAAGAAAAGTGGTGAGAGAAGAATAAAGAAATAAAAGAGAAAGGAGAGGAAGAGGAGAAAGAAAGGCAAAATATAAAGAAGTAGCTTCTGATCTTCTTTACAGTGGTTGTAAATGCATTTGAATTTTATCCTCTCTCTCTAAGGTTACATCATAACTCCCTTCTTTCCATAATCTTCCCCTTCTGATCATCACACCCATAAATCACAAGTACATTTTTTTCCATTTTCAGCAAAAAGTCCCTAAAGGGTTTCCAGTCACTGACAAATCTAGTTGTTCTCTTTTCTCTAATTAAACAAGACAATTTTGCCACCTCTGCAAATTCTGTCACCTTCACCAACCATTTCTCCATCGTGGGTATTTCAGAGTCTTTCCATCTTTGTGGATATAATAATCTTACTGCGGTTACCACCTACAAAAACAATCGCCCTTAAGCTTTTTCCAGCTGTTTGTCCATTAGTCCCAGCAAGAAGAGCTCTGGTTTCAGTTGAATATTAGTTTTTAAAATTCTTTGTATTACTGTATGTATTTGAACCCAGAATTTTCTGGCTTTTTTGCAAGTCCACCAAGCATGATAAAATGACCCTCCATGTTTTCCATATTACAACAGCATCTTTAACTATCTTAGATCCTTGGGAAAGATCTAATAGTCAAAATGATCCAATAATACTTCACCCCCCTCCCCATTAGGGGACCCATAACTAAGAAGAATTCAGTTTTTGGGTCTCTGCAACGATTGTAGAGTGCAAAACCACCCACGGGGTGCAATATCCCGGGAGAGAGTCCTCTTTCCCCAAAGTCCACCTTGGCTTATCAAATGCTGGGGAGGAACTTCTGGATGAAGGGCCTCTATGTATGACAGGAGGAGCTCCTCCTTGGTGTTCACACATGATGTGCACACGCACCTTCCAGGCATGTGGAGTAGAATTCAATGAAGAATTTGGTCCTGCTGGCTGTCTTCACAATGGCTTCGATGCTCTCAAACTCTATGTAGGCCTGGTCTGAGGATTTGGAGAGTCCTAGAAACAGAGAAGGAACAGGCTTGGGGAACAACCCGTTTCCTCCTGCTGAGATTTACAGAGGCAGCCTTCCCCTCCCTACGTGGCGCCCAGATAGGTTGGGCCAAAACATCTGTCACCCCCCCCGACTCCCTGGAATGTAGGGAGAAGTGTTGTCCAAAACCTCTGGAGGCAACAGCACCACTATGTTGTCCCAGCAAGAAGAAGAATGCAGCCAAGTGCCTCTGGGGCTATGAGATTGCTCAGGGCATCCTCCCTTGCCAGACTGAGGACCAAGTCATAGGAAAAGGGGGCATCTGCTAAGCAACCAGTACAAAAACCTGGGCACTGCATGGTCAACCATCTCAGGGGAGAGACTTTGGATGCCACCAGAGGTAACATGGAATCTTCAAGACTGAAACCCTGGATAGACCTTCCCTCCACTACTTTATCCAAACCTCTTTTAATAAAAAGGGAGGGTAGTCCTGCTGAATCAGGCCGAGGCCCACCTTAACTCCAGTTTAATTGCACCTAGTAGCCAAACAGAAGTCTCTGGGAGGTTCACATGCAGGAAATGGAGACATCTCCCTGCCCCTCTGTAGGTCCCTGTAACTCAGTGTGGTCCAAACTTGGCCACTTTACGATGAGTGGACTTCAACTCCCAGAATTCCCCAGCCAGCATGGCTG